ATTAATAATTTTTTTAAATATCTGTTTCCGCAAAAGATAAAAATCCGTATCAGGTTATTTACTGAAGCAGAAAACCAATTATGTCCGCGATATTTTCAAAATTATTTTATCTGGAATGTAAAAAAACTTGCTACTGGAAAAAAACTGAAAAATAGGTTTTTTTTAGAAATATGCAGGATTAACACGAAAGTTTCACCTTTGAATGAATATTGCTGTGACCAGGGACAAAAGTCACATAATTTATAGTTGAAAATTCCTGATTGCACAAAGACAAATACAAAAAGGGCTTCAAATTATCAGTATCATTTAAAGCTAAATGTAAATATTTTTTCGAAAAATTATACATAAGGGACGCATTCCTCATTTTGTAGGCTTCTTCTCTTACTTTGACACGAAGTCCGTGAAATGAGTGGCTTGGTCACAAATCAAGAAAAAAAGCATACAAATTTGTTATGCTTCAACCTGGGTTTACCCATTTGTTACATCAAAGTAGACGCAGCTTCCACGCAAATAAATTTTGGAGGTCAATATTAATTTCAATGTATTTCATAAACGAGAATCTAGCCCAAAGGGCCAAGATCGATTCAAAAAAACAACAAAATATAGGCTACTACAAAAGCATAAAACTATCAATGTATTAGATTAATAATATCTTAACGTCTATTCAGAACCATTGTACTTCAAAAACATTTTTATTATTATAATTAGATTATTTGATGTAGCAACCTAGTACATAGGGCCAAGGACTACAATATTATACCTACTCTCATGAAAACGACAGATCTATAAATCCAAAACTGATCTATTTGTCTCATATACTTTAATAATTCCAAGGTTATAAAGGGAAGAAATTATATTAGTGTTAATTCGAGCTTCTACATTTGAACATCTATTATATATATATATATATATATATATAAATGAAATGATGTGCGTTGTCTGCTAAAAACAAGAGAACGGTTCATCGGATTTTAATAATTTCTTTTGCATTGTATTCGCATTGTTAACCGGAAGGTTTAGCAGTAAAAAAATTTGCAAATTGCAAATTATTGTATGCACAAATTCTCCATAAAATTCATATACAAATGCAAGTATGGAAATCGGAAGACATTCTGAATCGAGTTCGTGTCGTTTCAGGGAAATCTGATTAAACTATCCATACCTCAGACTATTTTGTTTGAAAATAATAATAGTATCATAGGAACGTGTTGTTCCTATGATACCTAAAATGTTGATATGCCACGGGAAATACCAATTTAGATGGTACCATTATATAGTGGTTATATGCCTAATAGTTGGCAAATATCTTTGAACCTAAGAAAAAAGGATTTTTCTTCGCAGTATTAAGCTCAACTGGTAAGACAACAACTATCAAAAAACAGTAATATTAAAAAAAATGCCAAGGCATAATATCTAATGTGAAGTTTATACCAAAACCTCCTTCAAAAACAATTATTATAACAAACAGCCTCATGATGATACCTATCGTATTGAATGTCAACTATCGATCGAACTTTTTACATCTTCCAGTAAGTAGATTTCTTAAATCGGTCGGGACATGGGGCTTTGTTACAACCTGCGTAACATGCTCTGTAAAACTAATGTTTAAAATTACAGACACTTATGTTGGGAAAAGGGTGGTTAGAGATTCAGCATACCTAAAATTAAACGGGAAATATGTATGGCGCCTTTTTAATGCATTAGGCCAACTCTATGAGAGAATTTGGTCAAAGTCTTTATAATAACGAAAATGGGACTGGACCTGTATGTCCAGTCGCAAAAATGGGTTTTACCCTTCAATATCCCGGAATGATATATTACAGGTACGGAATGATATATTACAGGTACATGTGAAAATACCGAACAATGGGAGATACCATTGTTCGGTATTTTCACAAATGTACTATGATTCAATCTACCAAATAAAACAACCAAATTACAACTGATTAAATTTAAAAACGTGTCCAAACCACCACAGCATTAAAAAAATGTGGAGTACCATTATATAAGGGCTATTCGGAAGCTTGGGCGAATATAAAATTACAGCTAAATACCAGATATTATGGGATACTGTTATATGACTGTTATACTTGGATCTATCTGCTCAATAAGTATCATTGATATTAAATTTTAAGCAATTCTGTCGAATATTGGGGCTACCCTAAAATGTGAACCAATATTATTGAACTTTTTTAATAACAAATATCTTATGATATAATCTATGTACGAATTTCAAAGCTATATATTAAACTGTGGAGGGAATAAAAAGCTAACTTAATATTGGTTTTCCTTTATATGGAAGTCTTATAAATATATTGGGAAAAATTTAATGAAATCTAAAACTTATATGTACATTAAAATTTATTACATTTAAGTTTATGTTCCACGAAATCAATTGTTAAAAAAAAATTATATCCACCGAAACTTGAGAAGGCAGAAATAGCAACAAAAATTCGCTCATAACCATTAAATTGTAGACATTCAGTACTGTAATGTTACTTTATGTGAGTTCTGATAATGGTATTACAAACGATCTCTAAAACAAATCTAAAATGCCGATAATTATACATCAACAATATTGCTAAGGCAAGACAACGTTTGCCGGGCTAGCTAGTCTTCTATATACATATATATATATATATATATATATAAATGAATTGCTGTTCGTTAGTCTCGCTAAAACTCGAGAACGGCTGAACGGATTTTTCTTATTTTAGTCTTGAAATGTTCGTGGAGCTCCAGGGAAAGTTTAAAAGGTGAGAAAAAATCGAAAACCGCGAAAAATTTGCAAACAAATATGTAGCAAATTTGCATTTCCACGAATTTAGTATCGAGCTATTTTGATTGCACCATGTCGTAGTTTTAATTTGAGATATTTTAATCCCAAATTTGTCAATTATTGAAAATTTCCAAAATATTTTATTTTTTCAATTAGATTGACATTGTATTGAAAGTATTTTATGTGAGAATACAAAAAAATAATTGAGAAGTATATCATTGATTGCACACGCGGTCATTGTATTTACATATTTCACATAGAATGCACATAATTTTGGAACAAATGCAAGGATGGAAAATTAGAAGACATTCTGAATCGAGTTTGTGTCCATTAATAGAATTTTGATTCTAAGATCCATGCTGTAGATTATTTTATTTGAAAAAAAAATACCTCAACATGTCAATTACCGGTATATAAAATTAGGACATCTAATAACAAACAAAAACGGCGTTAAGTTCGACCGGACCGAACTTTTATACCAGTAGTCGTTTGGGGATTGTGGAGGCTATCCTAAAAAGGAGGATCGATAACTTTTGGTAAGAAGCTTTTTTACCCAATGGAAACTCAATGTATATGATTACAGCTAATTGGTTAAAAACGTGCATTAACTCCAAAACACTAATGGTGGTACCGTTATATGGGGGATATCTTAAAAAGTGTACCTATATTCATAGTTTTTGGTAGAAAGATTTGCTACCATATGAGAATTCATTTAGCCGAATTAGCCAAACAACATAAAATAAGGAATAATGGGGAGTATCGTTATATGGGAGCTATCATAAAAAGTGGGACGATGTCGTCAAAGGTACCAAATCACAGACAAACTGCGAAATATTGGAGGTACCCTTATATGTGTGGCTACCTCGAAACTTGAGTCAATATTAATTATTTTTAGTAAGTAGCTTCGCTATACATTAAAAACGCAAAATACCAAATTGCCGAAAATTAGGTTGAAAACCGTGTCCATCATCTCCCTATATACCCCATTTTCATTACCAATCATCCAAACAAATCTCTATCTTAAATATTGCAATCACTATCGTGATTTCGAACAAATTTAATATACACTTTACCATATGGTGAAAGATATAATAAGCTTGCTTAGCATTGGGCTACCGTGGAAGTCGTATAAACATATTGGGAAAGAATCTATTTAAACCGAATCCTAAACGATAATTCCGGCTCTTGATGTCTAAATGATATGACTTTATTTAAATTTATTTTCCATGAATTCAATTATTACAAAAATTATATCCAAGAATATTTTAGAAGGGAAAACAACGTTTGCCTTTTTGACAATTGCACCGTTTATAACTCAAGAACAAAAATCGTAAAATACCCTGGCAAATTTGTCAATTATAAATTAATTTATTTTCTATAGGAACAAGACTCGGTCATAAACATCAAATAGTATATACTCAAAACTGTAATTCTGCTTTATGGTATTACAAACGATGTGTTTGGACCCTACCCAACTGAAACTTGATATTTTATACTGCAGAGAATTATATTGAAATGTGTGATATAGCTTCCGATGTAACGATCAAGATCGATATGTGAAAAAAATATAAAAAGTTTATGTAAACCAATCATGTTCCTGCATATTTCTTACCCAAAAATATGTTGATGCAAGTATGAATAGAAATTTAAAAAGAAATCTAAAATACCGAGGCAAGACAACGTTTGCCGGGCCCGCTAGTTTTTAATAAATTTGAAAATTAAATTTTGAAAACCTACAATGGATAATCATTTAGATCTGATTTTGAACAATAAAACCCACAGTAGTTTTGATTTACCTGCACAAACCACACTTGCAATTATTTCTTGCATTGCTATAGTTTTTTTTTTTTTGCAAATATTTGGCCCAAATTGGACATTCCGAAACTTGTTAAATAAAGTCATATAGTTCATATAAAAATAATGGATTCCTTTCTCCCAAACCTAATATGTATTGCATTAAAATCTCAAATCCTTGTGTGTGGTTTCCGACGATGTGTAAAAAACGAATTCTCCTGAATATGATATTCTCTGTGCAGATAAATACAAAAATTTTAAGTAGTGCAGATATGAATTGTGCGCTTAAAGGAAATATTTGATAGGCAATCTGAGAATAAGTACCAAAGAAATGTATTTTAAAATTACAAATTATATAAACTTTATACATAACACTTAACTTTTAAGATCAAATTATCCTATATAATGTTTACATATATATTTACAGAAACATTTATGAACTATTGCCGAGATATACTCTTCATATTCGTGCCTCTGACGGTTTATTTTCCACAATTGCGCGTGTGGATATCCACAAAAAAGTCATCGATGAGACTAGCTTCAAATTCCAGAAAGAAAAGTATGCTTTTTCTACGGCCGAAAACTCATCTAAAATTGTTGTTATCGGTGTTGTTAATACAGTCGGAAACCTCCTGGAAGAGAATGTTGAATATAAAATTTTAAATCCAACTGATTTATTTAAAATTGGTAAAACTTCAGGTGCTATTAAAACGACGGGATTATTGTTCGATAGAGAGTCGGTGGAAATGTACACTTTAATAATTGAAGCCATATCTATTCTTTACAAAAACAATGAACCATATCTACGCCGTGCTACTACACTGGTTGACGTATCTATTGTTGATATAAATGATAATTGTCCAATATTTGTCAATTTGCCATATTATTCTGCAGTATCATTAGATGACATAAAAGGCTCTGTGGTAATGCGAGTAAAAGCTATCGACTTGGATAGCTATGAAAATGGAGAAGTTCGATACGAGATGAAAAAAGGCAACGGCGAACTATTTAAGGTAGATCGTAGAACTGGCGACATTGTTCTCAAGCAGAAACTTGAAAATTCCCATAACAAATTTGAACTAGTGGTTGCAGCATATGACAATGCATTAACGCCATGTTCCTCGGAAGTCACAGTTACAATTAAGGTATGTAGATTATTCATTATTTTTTTTAACATAGTAAAAATGTGTTGTTATTTGAAATTTAAAGATAAGACGATTGTTATTCAAATAATATGATTAGTTGATCTTGGGTTCATTTGCTAATTTTATTTGTTGTAAAGATTTCCTGATTGCAGGTAGCAACTCGGACAAACAATACACTTAAATGTTTATTTACTAACACTAAAAGTAAAATTCCAATTACTGAGAGACATAATGTGATATTTCGTATTGAATGTGGTGAAACGAAAGATGAGAAAAGTGGACAAATGTATGTGGACACCACGAAAAACTGAAAACAATCGTATATGAACAGAAATCGGACAGAATTAATGAACCAAAATAACACCCAAAAGCCGCAGTTAGATGTTATCGAATATGTTATGCATACCCTAAAAAATTCTTGAGGATCAAATGGGAAGGAGAAAGATTGATTGAGAACATAGTTATCATATAATATTTTACACAAAATTTGCAATTAATTGGAAAATAGTGTTATCAGAAGCGGATATATAGTCGAATTAGTATTAAAATTTCGCTTTTTCGTGGTTGCTTTTGAATTATATTTGGTCAGCTTGAAGATTATACTAATTCAACGCATTATTTAGTGCTTCATTAGGAAAATTATAGTATAAATTTAGGCAACGTACTTGCATTGCCTTTATGGAAAGTTCATACAGAAAATTTTTCGTACATGGCATTGGAGATGTATAGTACAGTACCTTTGGAGTGACATTCACAAGATGCTATCAAGTCATGCCACAAAATAATTTGGAGCAACCCGAATATTTGGAAGAGCCGAGTCAAATAAGGATTTAATTCTGGATTTTATATAACAATCCGACCCTGTTATATCCTTGAACAGTCATTATAACATGGATAATACGATATCGTACATTTGGGAATACAATATTTAATTTATTCCTGATGTATGTTGTGAAAATCTGATGAATGATAAATCAATAATGTATGTAGTAACTAAAATATATGAAATATTTTCTTATTAATAAAAATAACAATACAAATAGTGGTAATTAGTGAAATAGTGATTTTATGCTATAGAATAGTTACTTGTACAGGAATAAAATTACTTATTAATGGTCCTGTGTATGGTAAGCGTCCTGAAACGTCAACCAACAACTAAATTGCAACACTTATTACTGTCTTCGTCCTAATTTTAAGTAAACTGTCAAACTGTTTCATCGAATCTTGCAGAATATTAACGATTTTATAGGCTTTTTTGTCTGTTGCTTTCCAGATATAAGTAGATAAAAATTGCCAATTTTCATTGAGTTTGGTTGAAAATTAAAGATTTTATAAGCAAAAAAGGGTAAAATTCTCAAGACTCACAATTGGTCCGATCTATCTAATTTTTTGTCTGTTGCTCTTTAGGCCAATAATAAGCACTTGTACAAAATTTCATCCACCTACGATAACTCCTATTTTTGGCCGCTGTCGATATGAACTCGCGTCGCGTGCGTCGCGTGCGTCGCTGTCCTGTACGGACTTTTGCTGCAATTATGATTCCTTTTGTGATTTGTTTCTTGGGTGTTCATTTGGTAATTATTTGAATCTATTTGAATCTTTCGCATCAGGTCGGAATAAATACAAGTTATCAACATACGACTTTTGTAAAGCCACATAGCCCAATATGCTTGATGACCCGCTTAACCAACGGCTAAACATGTCGCATAATGGTGGGTACGTAGGTTCTTCTCCTGGCTTTCATTTTCATTGCAAAACATAGGTCATTAAGTTCGACTCGAAAGAGTATAAATCAGGGTGCGCAAATGCGAATGAATAAAAATCAGAGCTCCGAAATGCTCGCTCGAATTCGAGTAAAGAGTGAAACTCGCTCGAATTCGAGCGGGAGTACTCCTGCGAGTAGAGAAAGTAAATAGAGTATACTCTATTTTTCTCTGCCACTCAAATAAGAGCGCAAGTGCTTCGCTCGTTTTCGAGTGGGAGTGAAATACGCTCGAAATCGAGCAGATTACACTCTTGCCGAGTACTCTTTTATTTTTATTTATTTTTTTGTTGTGATACCGTTGTTTTACTTGATGTTGTTTGTGTGCATTGTTTGTTTTGTGATGTTTGGTTTGCTGTACTGCTGGGAAAGCATGCATCAACAAGCTCGTTCTCTGCGTTCACTTTATGTAAGTCTGAAATAGTGACAACAAGACGAACCAGCCTCCATATTGAAACCCTCGACAATATTTTGATACTAAAATTAAATAATGAACCACTTATGCATTCATGGGTTTTCTTTCAAACCAGCGCTTTTATTATTTTTGGAGAATACTTTTCCACATTTTTTAATGAATACCATTTTAAAAATTTATATGGAGGTGTTTATGCTTTTAAAAAAATATTGAATTAATTAAATCACACGGTTGAATTCATTTTATAAATTGAAATAAAAAACATATAAAAATCTTATATGGTATAAGATTTTTATTTGTATTTCACATTTTCAGTAAACAAAATAATCGATCTCCCCACAGCACTCAAAAGATCAACATCAAAAAATGTTTGCTACTACACACACACACACACACACACAAATAACCAAACAACCAAATTTATTTGTCCACTCGATTTCACTCTTAGAGTGAACTCATACTCTATTTCGAACATTTTGACTCACACTCTTTTTCTTCATCAAGGAGTACTCGCGAGCACTCCCAAACAAAATAAAAGAGTGGAGAGTATACTCCCTAAAAAACTCGTACTCTTTACTTACTCCCACTCGGGAGTATTTTTCACTCGCGAGTAAAATCGAGCAAATCGGAGCTCTGATAAAAATACATTCTTCTCGTTTATTGTTCATTTTACGAATCAATTTATGGCGTTAAATTCTTTACCAAACGAGGATTCGACAGATAATGTTCGCACACGCATAACAAACGAGTGAGAGCACACAACAAAGATCGTTCGATTCGTTTGGTGGTTGAAATTTTTTCTGACATTCTCTCACGAATGAAAACAAACATTCCCGAATTCTCGCGAATGCTCAAAACAGCAACAACAATAACAACAAACAGCGCTGAACGGTTACAAAGTGAATGCCGTCCTCGGAGCTCACCCCCCACCCATAGCAGCTGAAGAACGTCAGCTGCCTAGACAAACCAGAGTAGTTTTGGCTCAGTTACGTTCTGGATGGTGCAGTCGACTCAATTCGTATTGGGCACGGATTGATGACCAGGTGCAGGATGTCTGCCCAGCATGTGGTACAGGCCCTCATACCACACTGCACTTGTTCAATTGCCCAGCCAAACCTACTCACCTCACTCCGGAAGATCTGTGGTTACAGCCAGTGGAGGTAGCTGCATTTCTGAATCTGGAGACAGAACTGGAGGAAACATAACAGAAAACATGCAATTCATATAAACTGCTACAACAACAACAAACATTCGTGAACTCTATAGTTTTTGGACATGTGTTTTGTTATTCCTCACACTTTCGTTCGTGAATGTTTTGTACAATGCGAACATTCGCGAGAGAATGCAAATGCTTGTACATTCATTGTGACTTCATTCGCGATAAACTGAAATCATTCGAATTCTCGCCGTGAGCATTCGTGAGAAAGAACGTATTTTAATCATTCTTCGCACCCTGATATAAAAATCACTTAAAAATGAATCTAAGATGTATCTATTTTCTATACCGGGTGCTAAAATATGGCGCACCTGTTTATCTGTTCAACAAAATAAAATTTTTAAATAGTTGTAGGTATATTCAATTAATCCTTCAAAGTTTCACGCATATTGTATTAGAGCGATACTTTGCAGTTGTTATAGTGAGATTATGGAACATGTTACCTAGTTATTTAAAGGACTTTTTCCATTCATTCACATACTTTTAAGCGTAATCTTCTAAACTATATATCTACACCAAATCAATCTCTATAAATATGTAAGTAGTCGCTAATAATATTCCCATTTTTTCATTGTTTATGATCATTTTAAGAGACGGTGTTAGGCTCTAGATTTACGTTGGTTATTAATATAGTTTATATTATTTTTTATGTATATCTTATCAGCAAGGATTGTCCATAACGTTATTGGTTTATTGTTGATAAATAAATAAAAACCTCTCTAATAAAAGTTATCAACAAAAGGTACCCCCAAATTTTCCGTATTTTTGGCACGATTTTCAACTAAAAATAGTTGTAATTTGATATTTGGGATTCCTATTTAATACGAAATATCTTTCTTAACCTATTTGTCTCGGCTGCATATCCTCTAAAGTACCAGTATAAACACCATCCAATATGAAGTCAGTCAATTGTACGTTTCTCTCAGAATATACTATATAGTTTAATTAACGACAAAGTCCTCATTGATGATATATTGAACGGGAAGAGGTGTACATCGTCTATACCGTTTTGCGTTCAGTTCACGCTTTGATTATGCGTTCTACGTTATAAAGGAAATTGAAACGTAACATACAGTTAATCAATGTGTGCACTGAATAGTTCATATATTTCATTTTCAATGCCCAAACATCATAAGTGTAGAAGTAATGTAAATACAAAATGACAGGCAGTCGGACAAGGCTAAATCGATATACAAATTTATTCTTATTAGCAATATAATTTCTTATTCCGCCTTCGAATATTTCGAGGTTTTGTAGAAAGAGTATATATATATATATATATAATGGAAAATAAACAATTAATTTATTGAGGTATTCACAATTTGTTGACACGACAGTTGTAATTAATATTTTAGAAGAATGCTGAAATTTCTTAACAAAATAAACATTATTTCACCATTATAATACAACACTATTAAGGTTTTTAAATAAATTTCTGCAATATTTCATATTAAAAATCTATATATATATATATATATATAAGTCGATTTCATATAATAATCATCCGATTTTCTTTCAGGTCGTTGACAAATCCATGCCAGTATTTACTAAACAATTTTATTTTGGCCGTGTAAAGGAGGACATTGAACTATTTTCTGCAGTATCTGTAAACATACAGGCTGAGAGTCCATTACAAAGAAAATTGATTTATACTATATCGAATGAAGACTTTTTTGAGATAGACTATAGAACGGGTAAGCCAGTATTTTAATAAATTTGCAGTATACGAAATAATCATAAGTTTACCCACCTCTTTGTGGATAAAATAAACATGTTTTTGTTTTTGTATTAAACCAATTACAGTAATAAAATAACATAATTCTAAAGGGTAACACAAGACAAAGTAAATGGAATGTGTTTTCCGAAACTAACAGTCTATTTATGTATTTAGAAAGAACGAGTTCTTTCGCTTTCGATGCGAAGGAAAATCAAGGGAATCTGTAGTTGACGACATATTCGCTTACCATGTCGTTGATAATAGAATACATATTGTCTTCAGTCATACCCCCTTTAAAATTGTAAACAAATACATATTTTTCATTTGTACATTTTGTATATCAGGAATTTTAATATTTTGACCTGCTAGTGTAAGAAGGCCAACACAAAATCATTATTCCAATATTGGGGATCCAATACAACAGAACGCTATTCTAATATAGGTCGCACAAGAGATGTAAAAAGTTGTTTTGTAATGTAGGGATCAGAGAATTCTTAAGGCCTTCGTTTTATAAATCCTAAGACACCGTGGGCTTTTTTCACCATAGAAATTACATGATTATATGCTTACATTTGTTTAGGTTTAAATCCACACAGTTTAATTTGCACCATTGTAAAAGTATTTTTAAATCTTTTGAAGTAAGTCAACTTGCTTCATAGAAACGTGAGTAATAAAACATGACTTCGTCTGCATACATTAGAAACTTGGAATGGATAGATCATTTGGCAAATCATGTACAATCAGAAGAAAGAGTAGTGGGCCTAAATGACTTCCTTGGGGAACACCGGAAGGAACATTAATGGATTTGGAGAGACAATCATCAAACAAAACTACCTGTGATCTATTTCCCAAATAAGATGATATCCATTTAACTAAATTTATACTTAAACCAATTTGATTTAATTTATATATTAAAAGTTCATGGTTAACCCTGTCAAAAGCTTTACTGAAGTCAGTATAAATCGTATCGGTTTGATTACGCTGAATAAAACCTTTTATGAAGGTTGAGGAAAATTGAATAAGATTGGTAATGGTTGAGAGGCCACTACGAAAACCATGTTGATATGGACTTAGGATTGGCTGAACTTTATGAGAAATTACATCAGTAATCAGTTTTTTGAACAATTTTGGAATTGCACTTAATTTAGCAATTCCTCTATAATTCGAGACATTAGTTAAAATACCAGATTTGTGTAAAGGAATTATATAGGATTTCTTCCAGAAGGTAGGAAAATGACTATATTTCAGGGAATAATTAAACAACAGCGTTAATTGCGTTAAAATATTGTTGATCTCATTTTTCTTAATTTTAATATTATTTTTCTTAAAACAATTTTTTTTTGAATTGGTATATTCTTTATTGTTTAATTTGTTATTCTTTTATTATAATTATTTTGATATGCATTCGATGTTTAATCGAACTATAATAATTATGCTCCCCGGTCTCTTATTTAATTTTTATGTGCCCTGATGTGAATCTAGGGCCTGTAATTAGCTGTGCTCAATTCTTTAGGCAGAACATTCATTGTGGTGGTGGTATGCTTACGTATGCCTATTTGAACTGTCAGAGCATTCGTCCGTCTAGATTCAATAACAAATGGGATGAGATAAAGTGTCTACTTGTTGGCAGTGGAATTGATTTTTTTGGTGTGACTGAGTTTTGGCTTAACTCAGCTGTCTCATCGAGGTCATTGAGAGTTCCTGGCTATAAGGCTCTACGTAGTGACCGCATTGGCCGTGTAGGTGGCGGTGTTATGTTGTATGTATGTGACAGATTGTCATATAAGGTGGTTTTTAAATCGGATCATTATGGTGTATACGAGTCTTTGTGCGTCGAGCTGTGTTTCGGTGCATATACGTTGCTTGTTGCCGTTGTATACCTGCCGCATGGAGATGTAGATTCCTTTCGTAGCATTCATGAGGGTATTTTTGATTCATATGCAAATGTGTTTGTCTGTGGTGATTTTAATTGTAACTTATTTAAATCTTCGAAATCTACGTTGATGCGGGGCATATGTAGGTCTCTTGGGCTTTCTATTGTCCACAATTCCAAGCCTACGCACTTTGATCTTGCTCATAGTTCTACCTCGCTGATTGACTATTGTTTGATCAGTGATCCCATGCGGCTGGGCTTTTCCTTGCAGGGACAATGCCCTAGCATATCTCACCATGCGCTTATCTTTGGGATGATTGATTTGCCTGCAGTTGCTGAAGAGAAGGTAATTGAGTATCTTGATTTTTGTAATGCGGATTGGGTGGGTATTTGTGATTTTGTGTTTAATTTTGATTTTTCTCCTCTGTATCTCACCAGTAACGTAAACAGCCAAATGGCCTTGTTTGAGACGTTATTTCAGAGTTTGCTGTTTTTTTGTTCCTCTTGCTAATCGTCATGTTAACCCCAAAAATGATGAGTGGTTGAATTCTGATGTGGTGAAGTCAGCTCGTTTGATTCGGGATTTAGCTTACTTTGAATGGCGCAGAAGGCCTACTGATGACAATAGACGTATATATTGTATCTGCAGAAATCGTTGCAAAGCTGTTATGCGTAATGAAAGAAGAAAATATTATGAAAAGTTGTTCGGTCGTATGAACAGTAGTCAATTATGGAAGTCTCTTAGGTCCTTTGGTTGTCTGGATTGTGGTGATGATGTTCCTTTTATTGATGTTAATACTGTTAATGATTACTTTTGTAATGTGGGCAAATCTAATCCTGGAGTGAGTGTAGGAATTGCCTTTGTTCCAGAGTAATTTAGGTTTTACTGCGTGTTTATGGAAGATGTTGAAAGTGCTCTCCGCAACATTAAGTCTGGAGCTGTAGGTTTTGATGGCATTCCTATTAATTTTTCCATACATATCTGTTCACTTTTTGCATTTTGTTAATTGTATTTTTATGACGTCATCCTTCCCGCAAGCTTGGAAGGTGGCTCGTGTGGTGCCTGTTCCGAAGAAAGGGTCTTCATACAGTCAGTCTAACTTGCGTCCAATAAGTGTATTGCCGGCCATGTCTAAGATAGTTAAAGATGTTATTTCATGATCACAAATGCCTGAGTGGTTCTCAGTATGGTTTTCGGCGTGGCTGCAGTACTACGGTGCACTTATTATCCCTTACTGATGTTATTCGTGATGTTTTTGATGGTTCTGATGTTGGTCTTGATTTGTCTAAGGCCTTTGATTCAATTGACCATGCGCTGCTTATTCGAAAGCTTAGAGTCAAATTTGGATTTTCCGTTTCGGACTGTAGACTAATTTCGTCGTATTTGGAGTGTAGATCCCAGTTTGTTGTGCACAAGGGTGTCCAATTGATGTTGGTCTAATCCGGTGTGGAGTCCCGCAGGGTTCTGTACTAGGCCCATTACTTTTTATTATGTTTATTAATGACATCATGGATTCTGTTACTGCTAGTGATTGTAGTCTCTTCTTGTATGCGGATGACATACATGTTTTCTTTAGGAGTGATGATCTCGCCAGGTTGGAGAATCTGGCTAACACAACGTTGCAATCTCTCTCTATGTGGATCTCTTCCAATGGTCTTGTTATAAACTGGGATAAGACTGAAGTTGTTTTGTTCAATTGTTGCTATGACGGTTCTATGCCTAATATTTGCGTTAGTTCCTTTACTATTAATATTGTTGGTGAAATGAAGTGCCTGGGTGTAATTATTGATGCCAAACTTAGTTTTTCGACCCACATTGATCTTCTGTTGTCCCGTGTGCGATTCCAGCTTAGGAGGCTTTATAGTGTCCAAGCATATTTGCCTCTTGGCGTTAGGGTGAAGGTGGCTATGTCGTTGTTGATGTCTCAGGTTAACTATTGTTTGGAGGTTATTTCGGGCTCTAATTCTGGTCATTTGCATCGGCTCCAAAAGGTTGTTAACTCCATTGTTCGTTATGTATATGGTTTGGGTCGTAGTCATCATGTTTCCCAATTTGTTGTTAAATTTCTTGGCCTATCCTTTTATAATTATGTTGAATATCGTATCCTTTTGTGTTATTATAGAATTATGAGAAATGTTGATTTACCACTGTGTAGTAGGTTTGTGATGTGTAGATCCTCTCGGAACCTTCAGTTGTTGTATCCGAGGTTTTCGTCTGCAATTTGTGAAAGATCATTTGTAGTTAGAGTCGTAAGATCGTGGAATCAGCTCCCTTTGAGCCTTCGTAAGTTTACCTCTTCCACTTTTGCGTATAGGAGGGAATTGTTTGGGCATTTGTCTCGTATTTGATGAAGATGGCTTTGAAGAAATCCCTGATTACAGGTTGCATAATGTTAGTTTGTTTTTTTTTTTTTAATTTTTGGCTGGGGAGCCATTTTTATTTAAGTTCGTTGGCATTTATGTTATAGATTTATACATATGGAATTTAATGTCTGTATAGTATATTTATATGTATGATTCCTTAAGCTTCCTTTCCCCTCCACTTTTCTTAGCAACAGTGAAGTAGAGTGCAGTGGATTGGGGTTCTTGTCTGGAATCTGTTATGTTAGGGGTTTGCATTAAATTTTATTATGTAGAATTTTTTTTTTTACTGTTATGTATTTTTAATTTATTTAGTTTATTCTTTGTTTGGATTTTTATTTTTTTTATATATAAGTTAATATAAGTTATTGGCCATGCTGGCTTTTTTATATTACATTGTATGAAATAAATGAAATGAAAGATTATTTTTATAATTTTTAATATTTGAAAGCCCAGATGTGACGCATGGATATCGTTCCGAGTTTCTAACCCTAACAATGGGAACACATTCTAGAATAAATTTATTTAGGATATCATAAAATTTATATACTGATAATTCTAGATCACTATGACTCTTACAAATAAAAAATGAGCTCCAATTTACGGTTGAGATAAGTGCGTTAAGCTTTCGGAAGTCAATATTATTATAATTAGGAACAGATTTAAATGACATTGAAGAATTTTTGGTAGCTAAATTTTTATGCATCATGGATATGCATAATGTAGGATGGTAGTTATCTTCG